TTTTTTTACAGTGTTTTCAAGTGATGAGCCAAACATATTGTACAAGACTACAAGTTCTCCAAAATGATGCTAATAATGATGTTAGAATTGCTTCTTCTTTTTCCATGTCTCAATTGTATTGTTTATTTATTTAATTAATTTTTGTATGTTTGATGGCCTTTCAAAGGCTTATTTCCATTAAATTGGAGATATGCCAATGTTAATTAAGTTTCCATTGTAGTACCACATTCTTCCTTAAAAAAAAATAAGCACACAAGTATATTATCAAATGTTGTACTTTCGTTTTATGTTTTGCAATTATTAGAATATAATACTTATAAGTCTAATGGTTTACTCCCCTTTCACCAATTGATTTTAGAATTGAACCTTACTTGGGCTTCATCTCGGCTTTTTCTCTCATTGTGCAACTGTTTCTACACCTCGATTCTTACACAAATAAAAAATATATTTATACTACCAAATACGACATTTCAGTTTTCATTTTGTTTCTACATTATGATATTTTCTAATGAAAGCACATATAATATTGTGATATGTGTTATTACTTATTAGATAATTTGGTATTTTAAACATAATTTTTTACATATAATTTGTATTACTTTTTATATGTAAGTGTATGGATGAATACTGGTTTATAAACTATCCCATGATATGCGTATTCCAGTATTCTTAGTAGAAGCCAGAGATCTTTTGTTAGAATAACCAGAAACAAAGGGAATGAGACTCAACAAGGGCGAGGGCAGAGTCAGATCTCTATGGATTTAGGGAAAGATGTGGCTACTGGGTTGAAAAGGAAACAAACTGAGTTTGAGCAGCTAGATTTGTCTCATTTTGAGTCTGAAGGGAAAAAATTTAAACCAAGTACAGAGAATACAATTTCTAAGGTGGAGGAAACCAGCCATAACTGGTCCCAAGTGTCCAAATGAGAGTTCAGGTGTGGAATTGTAGAGGTTTGGGAGGACCCTCTACAATTCCCCAACTGAAGGCAACCATGAGGGCCTACCTTCATGATTTTGTGTTCTTGTCTGAAACAAAAAAGAAAAAGACTTTTATTAAAACTGTTTGTAAAAACCTTTTGGTGGATGATAGGTGGGATTGTGTTGATTCTGTAGGGTCTAGGGGGGGTTTGTTTGTGTGTTGGTCTCAAAGGATTGGGGTAGTTGATATTGTGAAGAATGATTTCAGTATCCAAGTTTGTTTTCAATGGAATGGGGGAAGTGAGCATCTGTGGGCCATATTTTTGTATGCTAGTAATGACTCAAATGAGAGAAGGAGTCAGTGGGAGTCTCTTATCAATAGTCAGCATAGGTGGGGTAGCACATGGTTTATTGCTGGGGACTTTAATGACATCTTGCACAATGGGGAGAAAAATGGGGGGCTGAAGAGGGGGAAAGCTAGTTTTAAATGTTTCAGGGAGTTTGTTCAGGCCCTAA